GAGGCGGGGGCTAGTGGAGAAGGGGGGAGGAGGGATGAGGAGGGACGGAGGTTTAGGGTGAAGGAGGGAAGAGGTTTGAGAAGGGAGGAGGAGGACGGGAGGAGGTGGGAGGAGGAGAAAGGATTTAGGAGAAGTGAGGAGGAGGAGGGAGGACGAGGAGAAGAATTGAGGAATGTGTAACTCACCAGAACACAGCTAGAGTCCACAACTCTCCCCTTTGCCCCCTCCCACCAAGCTGGCGTTCTTGCAGAACGAGGCGGCATGGACGGCCTTGTCCCTCGTCAGGTGGTCGTACCATCCGAGTTCGAAGGCCCCGCGCGTCCCGTTCTGCTCGATCATTTCCTCGAACCTCGAGCCCAGGTCGTCGTGGTCCACGCGCGGGGTCGGGACCCGCACGGGGGGGGGGGCGGCCTCCGATGGCTGGCCATCGCTGGGGCACTAAAGAGGGCCTCTGGGCCCTCAAAAATCCTGGGCACAAATGGCTCACCCCGACGGTCACGAAGGGAGGGGCGGCACCGCAGAATGAGCGTTAGGAAAAGGGAGTGGAGGGGCGGGCATGGAGGGGTGAAAGGGTGGAAAGAGGAAGGGACATGAGGGGTATATAGTTTAAACTAGATTTGGTGCGGGTGGAGAGAGGGAAGCTGAGGAGGATGAAGAGGAGGAGGAGGAGAAGGACGAGAAGGATGAGGATGATGATAAGGAGTGATGATGTGGATGCGGAGAAGGAGGGGGGAGGAGGAGGAGTCAGGAGGATAATGAATGAGTGAGGATGAGGAGGAGTAAGGGAGGATGAGTCAGGAGGAATCAGAGTAACATATGAAATGTTTTTTGTTACGAAAAGCGCGCGACCTGGCTCAACGGCCTGGTCCTGGCGGAAATCGCGGTGGAGCCACCAGCGGCATGTTCTCGTGATCCGAGGGCAGCAGCACGCCGTGATCGTACAGGTGCGAGTACCAGCAAAACCTCTGGGACAGATAAGGAGGATTGCGTTCTCAGAGGAGGGGATGGAACAAGAAGGAGGCCCGAACGGGGAACCCGACTGGCCACTCTCCCTCGGGCGTCCTGAAGATCATGAGCACGGCCGACGGGTCGTGGAGGCCCATCCTCTGGGACGGACGCCAGGTCGGAATGAACCAGACCTCGGGGACGTCTCGGAACGGCACGAAGTGCCAGTATCGAGGAACGATCCCTGGCTGCGGCAACTCCAGCCTGTGCGGCGCCCACGACGGCAACGGCGAGCGCCCACAAGGCGGGAGGCATGGCGGCGGCGGCGGCGGGCGCCGCTCCCCACCGACGATCTCCTCTCCCACAACGTCCGTCCCCTCGAGCTCGATCCCGACGCGCGGGTCTTGCTCCCCTGGACGGTCGATGTCGAGACCGTCGGGGGGAGCGACGGCGCGGTTCGCCACCACAGGTGGCGTTCCGTCCGCCGACCAGTCCACGAGGAGATCCATCTCCTTGAGCCAAAGCTGGCTGGAGGGGGAGGGAGGATGATGTTGATGGTGTTGGTGGCGGTGAATGGTGACAGCGGCGTTGATGATCACTCTCCCTCTTCTCCTCGTCGTCCTCCTCATCCGTCTCCACCTCTTCTTCCTCCCCCTCCTCCTCCTGATAGTCCTCTTCCGCTGCTTCCCCCCTCACCCATCTTGTCGTCTTTATCCGCCTTCTTATTTTTTGCCTCAGGCTTCCCCTTTTCGGCTTCCTCGTCCTTCTCCACCTCCCCTTCCTCTCCCCTCCTCCTCCTCCTCCCCCTCCTCCTCCTCGATCCTCCTCCTCCTCCCCCTCCGCTTCACCCTCTCACCCATCTTCTCGTCTTTATCCGAATCAGTATCCTTTGTGTCACGCTTCTCCCTCCCTCTCCCCCAAGGAAAGGTTACGGCGGGGTGACGGGCGGTGCCCAAGCCGACGCGGCAAGGCTCTCTGAGAGGCCCAAGCAGCACAGAATTTCGAAGCGAATCCAGCGTTGCGACGTCTCACAGAGAAAAGGAGTCAAGATGGGGACGGGGGGTGAGCCGAACCGACCCACTTGGGCCACTCAAAGGGGCCCAGGACCACGCGGCAAAGAACCTCGAGGCGGATCCAACACGGGGACGACTGCACGTGGGAGGGGTCAGGGCTGAGGGCAGGTTGGAGACCCAGGGCCCTGGACGGGGCCCAGGGCCTTGGATGGAGAATTTCGATGCACATCCAGCGTGGTGACTTCTGGAATAGGGGGAGGGGGTGGTGGGGTGGTCTACGTCTGACTGTTCCTCGATCCTGGCATCCTCATCAACTGCGATCTGCGAAAATTGCGATCCTCGATCCTGGCATCCTCATCAACTGCGAACTGCGAGAACTGTGTCTGACTGTTCCTCGATCCTGGCATCTTCATCTTTGCGAACGTTGTGGACTTAGACCTAACCCCTACATCATCGAACTACCTCTAAATCCTCAAACATGCATTGCTTCCATCGCATACATCATACATCGTACATCAAAACATTATACATCATACATCATACAGCATACAGCATACATAAGACGTGCTAGACCATACGCCATTCACGCATACAGCATATATCAACCTTCCTACACCATACATCACACCGCATACATCATGCATCGTGCCTCATACATCATACATCATACATCATACATGAGGGAAGCCTAAGAACATAGCCATCTTACGACTGATCTTACGTAAGATCGTCGTAAGATGGGTACTCTTTATGTTGGAAAAACACATCTTACGTAAGATGGGGTGGCGGCCTCCCAAAACAGACCGTCGCCGATCGGTCGCTACCGGTCGCGACCGGTAGCGGTTACCGATCGCGACCGGTCGCGACCGGTCGCGACCGGTAGTCGTTACCGAAATTGGAAGCAAAAAACGAAACGACCGGTAGCGGCTTTCGCTACCGAAATTTTTCGGTAGCGCATGATCTGGGCAGGTAAACAGTATTTCTAGTTCGCGCGCGCGGGGCGGCCCCTAGGAGTCCCCGGGCGAAAAGTACCCCGGCAGGTCCCCGGGAGGGTGGGGGCCAGAGATGCCGGACTTCCTGGGCGCGGCCCTGAAGGCCTCTGGAGCGCTCCAGGAGCGCTCCAAGGAGACGCCAAATATGTGGCAGGCCCAGCAGCCTGAAGCCAAGAGCGCCCCAAGACGGCCCAGATGGCCTCAAGACGGCCCAAGATGCTCCGAAGACGCCCCAAGATGCGTCCAAGAGACCTCCCAAGAGGCCCCCAACAAGCCAAGATTGATGATTTTCATTGTTTTTTGGGGGGGGATTTTGGCGTTCTCGCCTCTTCGGCTTACTAGCGCTCCAGGACGGCCCACAAAGCCCTCAATATCGCCCCAATACGGCCTACGAGGGTTCAAGACCGTTCCGAAACGACCCCAGAGAGCCCTAAGAGACCCCAAAAACCTCCAAGATGGCCCAAGATGCCCCCAAGACGGCTCCAAGACCGGGCCCCGACGGGGGACCGGAACGGACATTTCGCGCTCTAAGCCGCAAGACGTCCCCAGGAGACCTCATAACGCCCCCAAGAGGCCTCAAGACGGCCCAAGATGCTCCGAAGACGCCCCAAGATGCGTCCAAGAGACCTCCCAAGAGGCCCCCAACAAGCCAAAATTTATGATTTTCATTTGATTTTTTGGATTTTGGAGTTCTCGCCTCTTCGGCTTACTAGCGCTCCAAGACGGCCCACAAAGCCCTCAATATCGCCCCAATACGGCCTACGAGGGTTCAAGACCGTCCCGAAACGACCCCAGAGAGCCCTAAGAGACCCCCAGAAACCTCCAAGATGGCCCAAGACGCCCCCAAGACGGCTCCAAGACCGGGCCCCGACGGGGGACCGGAACGGACATTTCGCGCTCGAAGCCGCAAGACGTCCCCAGGAGACCTCATAACGCCCCCAAAAGGCCTCAAGACGGCCCAAGATGCTCCCAAGACGCCCCAAGATGCGTCCAAGAGACCTCCCAAGAGGCCGCCAACAAGCCAAAATTGATGATTTTCATTGTTTTTTTGAGAGAGGGATTTTGGCGTTCTCGCCTCTTCGGCTTACTAGCGCTCCGAGACGGCCCACAAAGCCCTCTATATCGCCCCAATACGGCCTACGAGGGTTCAAGACCGTTCCGAAACGACCCCAGAGAGCCCTAAGACCCTAAGAGACCCCCAGAAACCTCCAAGATGGCCCAAGATGCCTCCAAGACGGCTCCAAGACGGGGCCCCGGCGGAGGACCGGAACGGACATTTCGCGCTCTAAGCCGCACGACGTCCCCAGGAGACCTCATAACGCTCCCAAGAGGCCTCAAGACGGCCCAAGATGCTCCCAAGACGCCCCAAGATGCGTCCAAGAGACCTCCCAAGAGGCCCCCAACAAGCCAAAATTGATGATTTTCATTGTTTTTTTGAGGGAGGAATTTTGGCGTTCTCGCCTCTTCGGCTTACTAGCGCTCCAAGACGGCCCACAAAGCCCTCAATATCGCCCCAATACGGCCTACGAGGGTTCAAGACCGTTCCGAAACGACCCCAGAGAGCCCTAAGAGACCCCCAGAAACCTCCAAGATGGCCCAAGATGCCTCCAAGACGGCTCCAAGACCGGGCCCCGACGGGGGACCGGAACGGACATTTCGCGCTCTAAGCCGCACGACGTCCCAAGGAGACCTCATAACGCCCCCAAGAGGCCGCCGAGAGGCCCCAAGAGGCCCCCAACAGGCCCCAAGAGGCCCACAGGAGGCCCCAGGAGGCTCTAGAAATACTGCCAAGAGGCCCTCCAGAGGCTTCCCAAGAGACCCCCAACGGCCTCTAAAAAACGCGTCTTGTCCACAACCAAACTGAGCAGACGATGGCGCCACAAACCACTGACAGCCGCAAACGTCGAACCAACTACACCGGACTGGTGCACCCACCACCGAAAACAACGTCCCCCCCCCCCATCAGCGCAGCATGGCTCACGGACGCGCAGCCAAACCCCAGCGATTACGCATTATGGGCCGGCGGAATGAGCGAAGCGATTAAATAAACAATTACTCGAACCGCTGTCGCCTCGGCGAACCTTCTTTCAGGCCCGCAGTCGAGGCTGCCTCCGAGCGGGGTCACGCAACATCCTACTGCACGCTCGCTGCACTGACGGGCCAGGCAGCGCCTGAGGCACGCCAGGAGAAGGACTGAACGATCATACTCCAGATGCCGAAGTTGGAGTTGGCTTCACCTTTTCACTCCGCGACGTAGCCACCTCGCCGCGTAAGATACTATTATTACGAAGTGGCGTCCTTCAAGTCCCCATGCCGCTGGCCGCACAAGTGGAACCCAAAGGTCGCGCGCACCAGAAGAGGCCCAAACACGGGCACCCGCGCAACGCGCCCCGGCCCAGCAGCGGACAGCATGATAATCAAAGGGCCAACGGACACAGATGTGAAGTAGTTGGTGGCGCAGAAATTATTGGTCAGCCCGTATTCAACAATCCCCATGGCTATCATCGGGACGAGAAACGTGAGTGCTCCTGTCGCGAAGGCTACGCGATCTTGTGGCGAGCGCGCCAAGATGATTGTCCAGCATAGGCCTTGCAAGAGTATGAGCCAGATCTCCCAAGAAGTATGGCCGCCGCACCACCCACCTTCGATTTGTTGAGCTGTCATTGCCAAATATATCAACCCGATTGATGTGGGGCCCACGCCCCAAATGCTCACGTCGCCCAGAGGCCCGGCTAATTCTTCGGCTTGGCGCAGATGTGCCGACACCATGCCCATGCGTATTATGTCTGCCACGTTCTTGTCAACGAGATGCATATAGCCAGTACTGCTCGCACCGTCCCCAACATAGCTTGATGCGAGCTCTTCCCGGATGCGTTCCCCATCTGCACGGACCGAACACCTGGCGTCTCGGAGGTGGCCCGTAAAACCGTTCTGCAATTGCCAAGCTGTGACGGCCGCTCCTGATGCCCACAGCCTGTCGGCCTCGAGCGCGGTCGGAAACTGGGTCACTGCAACGAAGAACAACCAAGATGTCAGATGGTGGGGGCGATTCACGACGTTGTTTGCGCCCACGGCACCACAAGCGAATCCAAGCATTCGGAGGACAATGCGAAGAGAGAGTGAGTCGGCGGAGCGCTTCCGAAGGACCACGTATGCAAACGTCAGAGAACCAACCACTGCTTGGGGCGCCAACACAAACACATCTGCAGGATATGCCGCCGTCAAAACTCTGAAATGAGCGAAGATGGTGCACATTGCGCCTGCCCCTGATAGAGATAGGAAAACCATCCTCACAATGCGGGGCCAGAAGCCTGGCACTTCGGACCGGGCAGTGCTAATGTTTTTGCGCCACGTGTATGCCAGGAAGGCCTCGTAAGCACACCAGATCCTCGAATATATGCTGTTGACCCGATTCGGGACCGCCAACATGTGCGTCGCGGACGCCAAGGCTTTGGCAAAGGGGGACTCCATGGGGGTAGAGATGAGAGCAGATATGTCCAGGTTCTGTGGGTTCGACAGCACGCATACATACGCGTGCTTGAGCCCCATAGGCCAAGACCGCAATACTTTGTCACACAACTCGAACACACCCTCTTCCCACCCATGTGTGACAAAAAGATGGCATGGTAGACCCTCAGGATGTCTCATCAAAGCCCAACTTGCTTTGCCCGCTGCAAGCGTAACGGGCTTTATGTACTGGTCGTTGACAGTGTAGACGGACGGGCCGATCCTGTCGTCGCTTGCGTCGAAGGGGTCATGCTCTGTGGGTACGATCCGATGCTCTTGAACTGCATGCCAAACGAGTCGCCTAAGCTGCTTCAGATCCGCCTTGGTCACGCACCACCGCTCCATTGGCACTTCGCGGTGCAAGCTGGCGCCGTCTCGCACTACGGACGCTGATTCAACAGCACGGTCGTCTGTGCTGAACCATACAGTCCTTGATCTCCGACCAGAAACAGCCCACAGTGTGGTCAGTAAGACCCCGCCAGTGCCAAGGGCAAGGCCCGAGAGACCAATGATTGCAAGGAGGTGCAAATTCTCCCGAGAGAAGGGTCCACACTCGAAGCCGACCTGAGCAAGGCAACAAGTAAATTTACAACTGTACCCGAAGCTGTCCGTAACGCATTTGATGTCCTGGGCACCGTAACCGTCCTCACAAAAACAAGCTTCGAAAGGACTCGAAATCGAGCAATCTCGGAGACGGTCTCGGCACAAATCTGGCCGGCCTTCCACGCACATCCTCTCGTCTCCCAGGTGACGCCGTAGCGGTGGCGCTGCATGAGTTGACGCATCGGGGCCCGCACCCTCGGACGCCGCTGCGCCGCCCGCCGCGCGGAGCAGGGCCGGCAGCAGGCCGAGGCCAACTGCGGGCACTCCCCGAAGGCGCCGCGCCATGCCCCGCCCGCGATGCGCCCGCCGTTCGCGGAGAGGCCGCGCGCCGCCCGCCCGCCGCAGCGAAAAAAAAAGACAGAGCCGGGCGGCCCGGGCTCTCGCGGCCCGCGGCGCCCTGGCACCACACAGTGGCCCGAGCGAAGGCGGCTTGAGCCAGAAGGGCTACGGACCGATCTTAAGGTTTTCTTCAGATTCTGGCACATTCGCTTATGTTGCACCCTCGGGAGACATTATCGTCTGTCCCCTGTCGGCCCTAACAACGTCGAATCGGTGTCGAATCCATGTCGGATCCGTGTCGAATCCGCGTCGGACCTACGCCAGGTCATCGTCGAGTCCGCATCGAGCCCGCGTCGGGCACAAGAAAAGACACCAATCTCGGGGACCGGCGAGGCCCCCGAGTGATGCAGCGTCACCCCCCCTGCACCCGCCCTCCGCCGCCCTTTGCAAGCCATGCTGGGCCGAGAAGACGTGCAAGCGAGTCCTGGCCTGCGTGGAGTCCCGATCTTCTATCGGGCCTCGCCGCGCCAGCTGCCTCTGCAGCGCCCCGTGCGCAGGGGGGGAGGGGTAGGGCCCCTGGCGCCCCAGGCCCCGCACACCATTCGATCCAGCTCGGACAATGGCACAGACGGATGGGTTGCGCGCCTCTCCGTGGGGAAGAAGGATAGGAGGCCACATGCGGACCCCTAGCAGTCTTTTGCCTGGATATTCAGAATCCCTGCAATATGTCCCGATGGCGTCTCATAGTCAATGGGCTTCGCGGGAGACATGGGCAAGAAAGGAAGACATGGGCCACATGCGGACCCCTAACCCCGCCACCCAACGATTTCTGAGGGGGGGGAGCCGGGGTTCGCTTCGCTCGGTTTCGGGGCCTCCCGAGCGAAGTGAGCCCCACCTCCACCCCATCAGAACTCGTGGGGCGGCGGGGTCAAGGCTCGCATGCGGCCACCGAAAGGGAAGACACGGCACCAGGAACAGTGTGGCCTGGCCCTCGCCCCTCCACGCCGGTAGCCTAGCCAGAAGCTAAGTGAGAGGCGTCTGCTGGACAGCCAACCCTGGGAGCCTGGCGCTGCAGTGTCTGCACATAAGAGGGCGGTCCCGCCCGGTCTCGGGCCCGGGGACCCGGGCCGCTCCATCCGGCTCGAAAGGTGACGCAGAAAGATGTTTCGCCTGATTTTTCGCGATGTGTCGCAGAACGATGTTTCGCGAAAGGCGGCAACGTCGGAGTTCAAGGAGGGACGAAAAGAACCGGGTCTCACGCGAGATGGCGTAGCGGCCTTACGCGGTGGCTCACGCGGTCCATCCGCGCGGCACGATACATTGAAAGCGAGCGCGCTAATGCGTGACCTAACGCGGGAAACTCACGCACGAATCTCGGCCTAGCCCACCCCGTTTCCTTCCGTCGCTCAGCAGGCAGGATCCGTTCTGGGCACAGGATTTGGTCAGGGACCGACCGTCCCGGCATTCCTACTGGCCTACCACGAAATTTTCCTAGAACCCAGGAATGCTCAAACAACAAGAACCATGTTCTTAGAACGGCAAGCCGATGGCTTGAAACAAGACATCCCCAGCCAGAAATCTTCTTAGAGCAATCTTTGGCGGGCCTGAAGGCATGCCAGGACGCCTCGCAACTGCTCGAGATCGGTGTGCGCGACTTCCTGGCTCGGCCAGGGAGGCATGTACGCTGATCCTAGGTCCAGGAGAGGCCTGGCCAGCACGTGCCAGGTGGTCGGCTGTCGCCCCCCAGGCCCAGCCAAACATTGGCGGCGAGCGCGGGGGGGAAGTGAGAAGGGGCGGGCCCTCTCAGGAGGCTCGGAAGCCACCCAGCCTGCTGAAGAGTCTTCTGAGCCTTCCCCGATGGCACAGAAAACTTCTCAAAGGTTGGCGGGCTTCTGAGAAGTCCCGCCGCCTTCTGCAAAGGCCTTCTGCTTCTCACTTCCCCCCTCACTCGCCCCCGAAAACCGGCCCTCCAGAGGCCCTCCCAAAGAGACACCTGCCTCTGGAGGGCGCATGTTCTTGGCCCGTCGAGGAACAAGCAAGGAAAACGACACCACCACCACTAGGGACCACCAGCGGGAAGCGCCAGGAGGGGCACTCCTGGTGGTGTCCACCCCCGCCTGCGCTCGCTCGCGGCATCCCCTGTCCCTAGCTCAGGAGGCGTCGCGCACCTCCTCGCTGGAGGTGGCCTCCCCTGTGGTGGTGGTGTGGCCTCTCCTTCCCTCAAACATGACGTCACCCCAAGATTCAACAACGCCAAGAACTCACGACCAGGTCTCCCTGCGTTGACAGTCTGCCCGTATGATCATGATGCGCGCTAAGGATGCAAAGGCCTTCGGCGCTCATTTCGAAGCTTTCCGAGCGGGGCGTGGCCAACGAAAGTGGCCAAGGATGGACAGAGAGGGCAAGGATGCAAGGGTACCCTTGAGAAGGTTGCCCATCTTTACAATGTGGGCTGATTGTATTGAAGGGGCCCTGGGACACACAAATAACAGGATTCCCAATATTTTCACATATTTTCTGTGTTTGTCTTCCCCCCCACTTCCCAACTTTCCCATATTTTCTCTGGGGAATCGACGATTAATTGTGTCTGTGTGATTATTTCCCTCCTGATGTATTTGTAGCCGGATCGAACTGTGAGGGTCCGGGGGCCCGAAACCAGGCGAAAACGCCTGGCGTGGAAAGATTGCAAAGCCAAGATCTTGGGACTCCCCCGTGCAAAAGGGCCCAGGGACACGCAAATCCACAGAAGCAGATCCCAGGAGTCCCCTGTGTTTTCCCATGGTTTCTTGGCCTTCGTCTGCCCCCCCACTTCCCATGCTTGCACACATTTTGCTGGGAACCGACGATGCATTGTGGCCGTGCGTGTTCCCCTGCTCACCGCCATATTTTTCGATATCTTGTTGGCCTGGTTCCCCCCCCCTTCCCATATTTTCCCACATCTACACATATATATATATATATATATATGTGTGTGTGTGTATATGTGCATATATGTATATATCTTTATATATATACGTGTGTATGCACAAGTGTATATATGTATATATGTATATCCTGGGAGCGTCTTCCACCCTTCCTATAGTTTCCCACATCTCTTTATATGTATATGTGTATATATTTATATGTATATGGATATACACATGTGTATAACTATACATATATAGGTATGTATATCCTGGGAGCGGACGATACACTGTGGCCGCTTCTCTCCCTGGGCCCCCTGGCGCTCCGTGGGGTGGCCGGCCACGCCCCCTTCCGCCCGGGGGGGGGGGTGGGCGGGGGCGCGGAGCGCTCTCTCGAGCAGCTGCCCGCTGCCGCCGCTGCGGGCGTTATTACCAGCCTCGAACTTATCCCTACCCCTAAGATTGACACGCCAAAAGGCGATGACAATCTTAGGGGTGCGCCCTCACAAGATGAGGGAATCCCTGAGATTGAGATCGTGATGAGGAGATGCCCCGCATAGGGATAGGGGTATGTTCCAGGTTGGTAATGTTAGGAGGCAACTGCTGGGAGGTATTCGTCGGAAGGATTGAAATATCTTACCTCCCATTGGGGGGCTGTCACGCCAGCTTCGGCCGCGGATGAATCGGGATGAAGCAAGCTTGAGCGGGAGTAGGCCAGATTACGGACCAGGGCAAAAGTCAGAATTTGACCTCCCAGGATTGCTCGACGGCGCGCACCGCGCAACCCGCAGCGTGTTGAGGCGGAGCTCAACACGTAGACTCAGGTCGGGCATGTCCTCCTACAGGCTGAGTGTGGAAGAAAAACATAGTCAATTACTCCGACGGTAGGACCCCACATGAGAATCTGTTTAGCTTACCCTTTGCCCTTTCCTCGATCGGTTTCAGGATGACCCGCTCGGATTCGTAACATGATCTACGGGCCCCATAGGGAGGGGGCTCCCGCCTGAGACTTCCTCACAATTCACTCACAGACGAGGCGCCCGCGCGATGCTTCTTTCATATTCAAGCCTTAGGAGCCCAAAAGTGACGACACTTACAGGTTTCAGGATGACCCGCTCGGATTTTTAACATGATCTGCGGGCCCCTTAGGGAGGGGGTTCCCGCCTGAGACTTCTTCGCAATTCACTCACAGACGAGGCTCCCGCCTGATACTTCCTCCATATTCAGGCCTTGGGAGCCCAAAAGTGACGACAGTTACACGTTTCGGATGACCCGCTCGGATTACCAACATGAAGCGCGGGCCCCATAGGGAGGGGGCTCCCGCCTGAGACTCCCTCGCAATTCACTCACAGACGAGGCTCCCGCCTGATACTTCCTCCATGTTCAGGCCTCAGGAGCCCAATAATGACGACAGTTACACGTTTCGGATGACCCGCTCGGATTACCAACATGAAGCGCGGGCCCCATAGGGAGGGGGCTCCCGCCTGAGACTTCCTTGCAATTCACTCACAGACGAGGCTCCCGCCTGATACTTCCTCCATATTCAGGCGTTAGGAGCCCAAAAGTGACGACAGTTACACGTTTCGGATGACCCGCTCGGATTACCAACATGAAGCGCGGGCCCCATAGGGAGGGGGCTCCCGCCTGAGACTTCCTCGCAATTCACTCACCGACGAGGCTCCCGCTCGAGACTTCCTCCATATTCAGGTCTCAAGAGCCCAAAAGTGACGACAGTTGCACGTTGCGGATGACCCGCTCGGATTCGAACATGAAGAGCGGGCCCCATAGGGAGGGGGCTCCCGCCTGAGACTTCCTCACAATTCACTCACAGACGAGGCTCCCGCCTGATACTTCCTCCATATTCAGGCCTCAAGTCAGCGAGTGATGATGATGATGATGATGATGATGATGATGATGATGATGATGATGATGATGATGATGATGATGATGATCGTTCGATGCCGATGATGGTGAGTGATCGTTGGATGGTGATGGTGATGCTAATGGTGATGATGATGATGATGATGAGTGGGGAGTGATGGTGATGGTGATGATGATGCGGAGGAGGAAGCAAAGAGGAGCAGAGGAGAGGGAGGAGGAGGAGGAGGAGGAGGAGATCCTGCGCGGAGGGTGTGCAGAGAAAACAAGAACCCCACTTAGGATGTGGGGAACAAAACATCAACAATAATTCAAAGAGCGCGACAAATCGCCCCCGTACTATTTTTTACCTGTCTTGCACATTATTCCTGTACGGGGGCATGCCCGACTTAAACGTACAGGGCAAGTTGTAATACATTGGATTTTGATTATAAACATCAGATGTTTAATACATGATTAATTTGGGCATGAATGTATGCATGAACCCATCGTTGTTTTTAATACAAAATCCCTGCATGTTTAATACATGATCCGCACGCGGAGCATGTATTACAAACGGCAGTGTAGACTGAAGACGTAAGTCTGGCGCGATACTTACGCCAAAACGTGAGCCAGCACGTGCCGAGCAAAGGCGCAGCGTGTTCACACGGACGTCTTGACACGGGTGTATCAGGGCAGCTAAGCCCAACACCCCGGTACCTTGCCGTCGCTCGGACGTCCATTTCCCGTGCATGTTTCGGTTTCGTGCGTGTTTTTTTTGCTCGATGGTCCAGGATGGTCCTCAATGGTTCTCGCCGAGAAAAATGCACACGTCCGAGCGATGCCAAGAGCCCAGCACCCCAGTACCTGACCAGACAGCAGGCGGCTTCTGTGGCAACTCAGGGGAGCCTCCCATGTCATCCTCGACGCTCACCGACGCGAGTGCACGCGAGCCACCGCAAATTGGCGCTCAATCAACGCTAATCGACGCTGGATCGGCGCTTCCTCATGGTTTACCAAACGCTACTGCACTCTGAAGACAAACTTCCGAGGACATGCACAATTTCACAACTCCGGGAACCCAAAATATCCAAACACATGGACGTCCCCCTCTGCCTTCCGCGGCTTCCTACCAGCAAATCAAATCCGCCCCCTCTCTACGCCCGCCGGCTTCTGCAAAATGCGAGATGCGCCGAGAGCCAAGATTCTTTTTCGGACGCCGGGAATGGGTACAGAAAAAGGGTACAGTTGTCCCAGCAGTTGTCCCACACCAACAGCGGCCGCTGGTGGGCAGGCGGCCACCTGTCTCAAATGGACACAGGCCACGGCGACACCGACAACGGTCTTTGTACCCACTTCGATCGTCTCGATTTGTTCTGCAACACACCACATGCGAAACTCGCACCGGCACACACGGCCAGACCACCACTCGGAGCGGGGCAGCGGCAATTCAACATCGCTCCCTGGGCCCCCTCCCAGGATCCGAGCGCACCAGGTTGCCGAGCTGCGTCGACGCGTGGTGACGAGGGGGCCCCCGAAGGCCAAGTACCGTTGTCTCAGCTCGCCCGCCTCAGAGAAGCCAAGATCTACTCCATGGGGGGGGCGAGGGGGGGTGCGAGGGCCAGCGATGGTCGGCACAACAATGAATCAAAAACGACCACTTGGGAGCTGATCAGATCCTTCTCGACTCTCTGTCTCGCACCCTCTGTTCATATCCCCTCGATGCCACTCCCAGGCCGGCTATCCAGACAGCGTAGCTGATGCATTCAGTCAACATGCTGCCCTAGAGTTCGACAGGGAAGAATAAACCGCGAACGAGATCGGCTACGCGATGAAATGTGTGTTGACCCTGGTTTGGATCATGCTGAGCTGACACTATGGTTCAACACGGTGAGCCCGCGTGCCACATCTGGTCCAGATGATGATGTCTGCTGTTGACTGTTACTCAAAACATCTGAGGAGATCTTTGCCCCTTGGCATAGCCGTATTGTGGTAAGGGTTGCGACCACAACATGGTACTTCGCTTGCGGTGATTTCTAAAACCTGCGTCCTGGGAACATCACTGATTGGCATCCTGGAGGTGGAGAACGGAATCCTGGCGAGCTGCGAGTTCGTCGCATGAGATAATTGTATGCGTATTCGCCAAATGCGATGTTGTACTAGGCGTGTCAATTGTTGAAAATGGCGTAGGGCATTCCACATCGCTTGGCTTCCATCATCACTAATCTGCGGTAGACGCGGTTAATGTACAGATGGCTACGTGAGCATTGGGCCAACATGAGCAGCGGTTCAATGGAGAGCAACACTTGGTACCGGCTTCTGTGCATGTGGCCTATAGCACAAACTTTGGATTACAAGGGGACTGCAAGGGGTTGGGGGGGGTGAGGGAGAAGAGCGCCACATTCGAATTGCGATTGGCCCGCGTCAGATGGGAAGATGAAGCCCTGAGCCCTGCGGCCCGAGCCCGGAGCGTGGCGCCCTTCCCCCGGGGGGGGGGGCAACTCGTGGGCACCTCGCGGGCGCCCCGTGCGCCCCGGCTGGCTGTCGAGACTTCGCCTGGTGGGCGGCCGTGGGCCTCGTGGGCGCCACGCGCTGCTTGCGCAGTATGTCGCCTGCGTTACAGCGGCTAGCCCAGGTGTCGAGGATGTCCACCGCAGAACTTACACCCAATGGCCTGCACCTGCTAGCTGAACGCACACACACACACACACTGTTTTCGATGGTACCTCCACACAGTTCGCACCACACACAGCTAGTACCATACGTAGCTTGCGGCACATTTGCTTGCCCCACACTGGCTCCAACACATAGGTTGCGCCACGCACAAGTTGCACCACTCTGCTAGCAGCGCACACAGATTGCATCACATGGCCAGCACGACGTAGCGCTTGAACAACCAGA